CTTTAAGAACATCAGAAAAATTACCACTGGTACTAAAAGAAGATTGTTATATTTTCTTCGAAGGCCTACGGCGTTTAAAGTACTACGTGCTTTTTTTAAACAATAAAAGTGCTTATACATTGCTGCACTGGCGGTCCAACACCTGCTATTTGGAGGAAGCAGTTGGGCAAAAAACAGTCCCCTGCTCAAGACAGGTTCAATGACCGATGACACAGTTTTCGAGCCTCATGGCTCAGGATGTAACACCCGATAAGAATTTCGGTATTTCAAACATGTCCATTTCTGTAGTTTGTGTTTTGGTCTGGATATTAACACTTGCCCAATCAAGATTAATTTCGTAGTGTAAGTTAAGAAGTACACGACTATTTTTGTCTTTCTTTGTCTTTGAGGAATGAATTTGTTTATCTTTAATTGTACTTGACAGCCTTTAAGATTGTCGATTCTTTATTTAATTTGTATAATGTGTTTTTAAATTAAATGGTATTTCCCTCAAACCTGACGAGTGGTAAGGTCAGCACAATACACGACTGCGTGAGTAACTGGTAAAAATGTATAAAGAAAATAAATTATATCATGTGTTCGAGGTCGCACAATACTGATGTGTAACAAAGAAGATAGATACCCTCAAAACCAGTAGGAGCAGTAAAATTTCAAACTCCAAAATAGCAAGAAATACCGAATGGTTCAAGTTAAGATCGTACTACAAATACATCCCAGGAAAGGAACAGGCAAAAGATTTCGTCAGCAGTCACGCCTAAAATTACAACAGATCTACTACTAAAAACACAGGATCTTTGAAGGTCCGTCCATTAGACATACTGACCCAGTAGGCATTTTAAAATATTAAGATTGCCAGAAAATTCACTAATCATCAATCATCAGTTTCCATCAATTTACCAATCTTCCTGCCAATTCAGAGTTATAAGAGAAAGCAGAAGGGCATTGACAGGCTGGAACCGAAAAAGGAAGCACCCCTGAGTATTTTTTTTTTTAAATAAAAACAATATTGTATTACATAAGCTTAAAATAGAAATAAAGTTCTAATTGAAAAAATGAATAAGTAAAATAACCGGTCGCACTTCACTTTTTTCCACATTCTACATGTATTTGTTAAATGTAAACAATGTTTGTAAATCCCTGGCCCTGAAGATGATCTCAATAAAGATCGAAACGTTGGCACGATAAATAAAATGTTTTTCTGAAACCTACATCACACCAGACCGCATCTTACGATTTCGGAATAACTATGTAGAATGTTTGATGTGTGGAATGTGATGACTGTTTTATATGTTATATTATGTTTTATGTGATGTGATGATGATATATGTATGTTATCGTTATTGAAGTTGATTAATGATATTGGCGTAGCTATGACTGAGTTTACATGTGTCTGTTCTGTAATTGATGCTGTGTTTTCTAACCATTTCTAAAAAGTTACTTTTATGTTTGTTTTGTTCTGTGTGTAATATTTTTGGATTGTTGAAGTCAAAATTGTTGTGTTCAAAATGGTGGGTAGCCAGTGCTGTAGCATTTTGTTTTGGTTTTTTGCAATCATAGATCTGTTTGTCTTCCTTCTCCACCCCTTCAAAATCCCACGTATATAAACATAAAACAGCAATATCTCACTGGCACTCTCAACACGACACGCAAGAATGGCACAATTACGCAGAAAACAAACACTTTGAGTGAGTAAAAATACTTTACTATAAAAAATATTTTTTGCATTGTATAAATTCACTTTTCTCCATATCCTACATGTATTTGTTAAATTTAAACAATGTTTGTAAATCCTAGGCCCTGAAGATGATCTCAATAAAGATCGAAACGTTGGCACGATAAAGAAAATGTTTTTCTGAATCCTACAACACACCAGACCGCATCTCACGATTTCCGAATAATCTTTTTTAATTAAGATGAGTTAATGCTAAAAATTTAATTTATAAGTAGTTTCTTCAGGCTGACGCTTATGTTATTAATTTATTTTTGAATGCTATAAGGTTTAAGTTTAAAGCTGTTAGCTGAAAATTTTTGGAAGAAGAAATTGCTTGATATCTTTAATACTTAACTTCATTCTTAGACTTGCTTTGTTGGTCCTATCAGTATTATGTAGAAGTATCTCCTGAAGAAGCCCCCAAGAAAGCCGAAATATCAGGAAGTATAAGGTACAGGTCAAAAAGTTAGCACAATTATTTTGTTACAATTTTAAATGTATTTGGGTAACTCTCTGGAAATAATTGTAAACATTAATTTTAAGTGGGACAAAAAGATAGAGGCAAATTAGCGGCAACGAACATTTCGAACAAATTTCTTTCTTCCCATTCTTTTCTGCGTTTCATCTCTTCCGTGTTCTGAAACTATAACGTTTATAAACATTTTCAACTATGTACATTAAAGTCCTGTAGATCTTGCTGTCCTTTGCAAAACTTGGTTTTTACTTGTTGAAAAAAAAAAGAAGCTTTTGCCATTTTTGCTGTATGGTTGTAAAACAAATTATTTACTTGGTATAGTCTCTGAGTACCTGTTATTAATTTAATTTCTATTAATTATAGATATCGCATACTGTTCATCCTACTGAAATCAAAAGCAATTTTTGTTTTCTTGTTGTAACCGATGCTACCTCCATCTTTCACACTTCATCCTACTTGGTTTTTCGAAAATAAAATTTCTTCTTACAGTTGGTCTTGGACATAAAAGGCCCAATCATAAGGACTGCCGAGTTTACTATTTTATCTGAAAATTAGATTTTTTCTGCACCTCCCACGTCACACCAGACAGCATCTCACGATCTCCGAATAATTTATTATTAATTTTTGCTTTCCCACATTGTTACTTTGAAGGCTGACTAAGGAGACATTTGTATTCACGGCTAAATAAGGCTAAACCCGGAGAATAGTACAAGGTTCAACCTCTATCTTAGCAAAATGGTTGATTGTTCCCGATCATTTTGGTATGCCTATTCTCGCTGTCAGATGTGTTTGAGATATCTTCAACAGTATACCACGTATGACCCAAGAGGAAATTTCACTTATAGGTTGAAACTTGAAAATTAGCTATTGTCGTGTACTCATGCGAGGAGGACAGTAGGTCTGTTTGATGTATCTCTAAGGATCTCTTGCCGCCTCATACAAATCTCAATTTGTAGTGTAAGGGCTGTTTTGCGTGTTCAATGTGTTGTCTTTGTAGTTATATCAAAATTTGGGCGATTTTCCTACCTAGACAACGTCTATAAACTATCAAGCGTACATCGCGAATCGAAAGACAGATTCATGTCTATAGACAAACGTTAGAACCAAAATCGCAAAACTTTTGACTCCCGTTTTAAATTGGAGACAGGAGACAATTCTTACACAATTTTTCGCAACATTTGGTAGTATGGACTTTTTCGGCAAATAGTCTGAAACACGGTGCCCCTACACTATCAAGCGGCTTGATCAAATGCTTGAGTAAATCGAAATTGTATCAAGCGTGATTGATAGTGTAGAAACCTGATTGACATTTGAAGCAAGCATTGACGGTGATAGATAGGAAGTTTGAATGACTCAAGCAGATGATCAAGCGGCTTGATAGTGTAAGGGCAATTTTCATCAAGCTTGCGTCAGTCACTTGGTGGAAATCATGGCGTCCACTACCGAAACCGCGCTTCCCGAAAACTCGGAGCGGGAGTTCATCAGTTTGTCGATAGATTTATATGGTGATTGTCCCGAATTGTGGAAAGTAAAGAGTAAAGATATGAGTGAAGCGGTTTCTCAGTTTGTACCACTCCTTAGCCCACCGTCGTTTTTTCTTTTGCTGTTTTTTCTGCTTCAGGGCAACCAATGTAGGAAGCCCAAATCTGTATTCGAAACCATTCAGCACCGAAACAAAACAAAAATCAAACCGCGAAACGCACTGCTCTACTTCACGGCTTCCACTGATGAGGGTCGAGAGAGTTTTGACCGAAAGATTGAAGGGTTGATTGAAGCACGCTTGAAGCTCCCATCAATCGGAGGTGCAAGCATTTGATCAAGCCGCTTGATAGTGTAGAGGCACCTTTAGTCTTTTTTGTGTATTATCAAAATGTGGCTTACCCAGATTGTTGTTGTTAGTTGAAGATTTTCACGTGCTATCTACTATGTATCGAAGAGCTAGCCAAAAAATGTTTCAATACGTGATTTAAAAATAATTTGGACGGCTTTTCATTGGAAAAAAGTTTATCTGGCGGAAAATAGTGGGGTCAGCCCTATTTAGCAACTACAAGTAATGAGGCATTGAAGAGTGTATAGGCAAAGTCTCTAAACTGTCTATATACATTATCTGTCTAAAATTTCTATTGAAAGTCCCTATACATGTCTATAGACAATCGCTCTATGTATGCAAGTGTGTTCATTCCCTCGAGGACGTGGACTTTTCCATATTAGGTTTTTTTATGTACATGGTTTTTATCCACGCCCTCCAGTGAGGAAACAGGAATAAAATTAAATTAAATTTAAAAAAAAAAAAAAAAATAAAATAAAATAAAATAAAAGCATCTCTCCCCTCCCGTCGCGGCCGTTCGTGGTGCCGGGGTGGTGCGCTCGTCTTCGTTTCCAGGGTTCCGGTTTTGAGCTGCTGGGATCACCATTCCACCAATACTAGGGTCATGAGTAAGGGGGTCTCTCCAAACTCCCCAAAAAAAGTGTGTACATGGCATTTTGTTTATTTCAAGTTCACATTTTTCTATCTATTAAACAAATGGAAACCTCATATAAATTAATGGACCATGCCATTTGTGCAACTCAGCGGGTTGATAAACATGTAGTTCGACCATTTCCGATCATTTTGATCTGTCTTTCCATGTTAAAAATAAATCTTTATTTGAAGTTAAAAATTGAATGAAATATGGCAATCGTTTTTAATAGATCAGATGGTTATTATCATCATGTGTTTTCTGGAAATTACAAATGCCTTTAAAAAATGTATTGAAAATACTATTTATATATAAAAACATTTATTTTCCATATTTTATTGTGCTTTAATAATGTTCACTCTTCACCACCTTCGCCCATTACTGCGTTTATGACAGGCAGAAGATGTATGAAAATGTCAATTATCGCACTATATAAACAAATTACGGCTTCAATATATTGTCCAGAATCGCGAATATCCCCGAATTGTCCCGTTACGAGCAACTGTGTTAAAAACATAATGTAAAAAGAGAGGAGAAGTACTGCAAATCCGCTGATGATCAAATGAAGAATGCCGACGTTCATGAAAAAAGATAATATTAAGTTAACAATGCTTAACACAGTGAGTGCTACAAATCCAATAACGAAAAACATTGAGCAGCCGGTGACATCGCAGGGTGCGAATATTGCTAAAAGACTCATAACTATCGTTATTGTTGCCGTCGCAATGAATGACGTTTGTACGACGATCAACCTGTAGCGTGCCGACATTCCAGCTGCCATTACTGCGGTACATATTGTAAAAAGGATGAGGAGTATTATATTCAAAGGATAGGATCGTTTGACTTTGTCACAACAAGCGATAATCAGGTACAGGACTGTGGATCCGATCGAAGCGGAGAGAACGAAGAACGGATGATCGAAAAGCCATTCTCGACTTGCTTCATTGTGGGTCAGTAAAAACACAGTTACACCGGTGAATAAAAGCTGAATCGAGAGGACCAGGTAAACTTTTGATAGAAAAGCTCTCTGTTTATCCTTGTCATGAAGATCTCCTTCTCCTTCATCAAACGAGGACATATGTAATCTAAAACACTGTTTTTGCCTTAAAAAATACTTGTTTTAGAAGTAAACAGATTTTTTTCAGCTGTTTACTTTGTATTAACAATAACACTAAATAAAAAAGTTCTTTGATTGACAGCATCAATTTTATAAATAATTAAAATATAACTCTTCGCCCATATAGTCGTATATATTAAAAAAATGAGCAAACGAAAGTGGGAGGCAAGATGGAATGTCTGTAGAAATAGTTTGATAGAAATTAAGCCAGTTGTACATAAATGGCCGACTGAGGAACTTGAGAGAAAAAACTTGTGGTTCTCTTAAATTGCGAATAGGTCACATCAGGCTAATCCATAAAAAGCTTTTCATAGGCAACAACCTTCCGGCTTGTCCTCGATGTATGCGCAGTGGAGAACGTATCATTCTGACTGTAAAACATATTTTGGTCGACTGTCGCACTTTGCAACCCTTTAGGCAAATGTTTATACCATTGAATGTTCGTCTGCTAATGTTTGAATGAGAGTTATGCGGCAAGATTTCTATCTTTTTTCAGGAATTTTTGAGGTTGCCGGAGTGGACAAATGAAATAGAAGAAAATACAAATTGCGGGGTAATAAACTTCCGTGCCCAAAATCGCAATTTAAATAAGAAAGATAGTTCCCTAAAAAAAAGTGTTATTGTGTTTTGTATTTGAGGAACTTGACAGAAAAGAACTTGTGATTCTCTCTAGATTGCGAATAGGGAAGAGTTTTAATAGGCAAAAACCGTCCAACTTGTCCGAAGTGGAGAACGTATCATTCTGACATATTTTGGCGGACTGTCGCACTTTGCAACCCTTTAGGCAAAACTTTCGACTGATTTAAAGGAGTTACTAGGTCTGCAGTGTTTGTTTCGAAGAGCACATTTCATCTTTCTTAAAATTATTGGAATTTATGAGATTTAAGCCTTTTCTTAATACTTGGAATGTTCGTCTGTGTGCGAAATTTCTCTCTTTTTTTTCAGGAATTTTTGAGGCTGTCGGAGTAGAAAAATAAAATTTAAAAATATACGAATTGCGGGGTAATAAACTGCAAAATCGCAATTTACATAAGGAAAGAAAGCTCCTTCCAAAAAAAAAGTATAAAGGAAAAGAAGTGTAATTGTGTTTTGTTTTTCTTATTATTGTTATGTACCATTAGTTTATTTATCATATTTGACTGGAAGAATAAAAGGATAACGATGAGCCTATACTCATGCTGAGACTGTCTAACTGACTCCATTATTATTATTTCTGGCCAGGGGGAAATGTTTAAATTATGGAACAAAAATTCGAAATTCTAATTAAAAAACAGGAATAAATTTGATATGTAAATTAAAATGGGATTTTTGCATACATTTGGCCTTCTAAATTAAGAATTTTAAAAGGATAAATTAAAGCTTTGGATGGCAATATGATAGATTAGTTTATGAGTGAATGTTTGGAGGCAGAGCTTTATGGCACTCAGAAGTTATAATAGCTAATTTATGATGAAAGGTTTAAATGTTAGGGCGTGAAATGACCTTAGCCGTTAATACGCCCTAAACAATTAATAATAATAATAATAAAAATATAAATTTTTAACTTTTAACTTGGGAAAGGTAGATTGTTATCGGAATATTATTTGGTTTATGCCACGAACGTCATATTATTCAGATCTTTCCAAAACTTGCTTACAAAAATATTATCCAATTGTTTATACTAATTTTTAAACATTGCAATGATATTATTGAAATTATTGTTATAGGAAAATTAAAAAGAAAAAAGAAAGATTACTGAGACCAAATTTAAAAATGATGGGTGTCCCATATTAAGATGGGCAAGGAAAATCTTGGAATGAAACTAAAATCATGCAACGCACATAGGCCTAATGGTGAATATTTGCTGCCACAGACATACGAATTTATTTCATATCTACAAACTATTTGCCTGATAAGGTCTTTTTTCTAAATGGGATTACATATACATTTTTCGACCTGATTGCAAAACCGTCGCGTTGGCTCCTAAAAGCACCTGTTTCTTGCAGCTGTAACTGTGGAATGGCCGAGTGACTCATATGAAATCATTTTTTCGGAGCGAATTTGCTATCGTATTACGTTGGATACCTAAAATGGGGGGAGAGAGAGAGAGAGAGAGAGAGAGAGAGAGAGAGAGAGAGAGAGAGAGAGAGATCGCTTTATTTAACCACGCAGAATTAGGTCTCTTGGACTTTTCTTACAATATAAAAAAAAAATTTATATTGTCTGTTTTACATAAACTATGATAGATATCCTTTTACAACATGAATTTCTGCATTTAATAGTTTTACTACAATATTTTGTTCAACTTTTTTAGTATTGTATCTAACAGATCCATTAAAATTAATTATCAATTAAATTAAACAAAGATTTTACAAACATATAGAAAAATAGAAATATATACAAATATAAATAAATTTTTACAATTCTTTTAGCGAGGTTTGAATATTTAACAATAAGTATATAAAAAATATAACTAATACTGTATTATTTAATACATTATATTACATATTCATACGTTACCAATAGAAAGTAAATCAATGTAATGTAAAATAAAACAAAGAAAAATTATATTTTTTCACATACATATTGTAACGTAATTTTGTAAAGCAACGTTCATACAAGATATTATGAAAGGTAGGCTCATATCATATTGTGTTTTATCTCAAGAAATTCATTAAACATATAAAAGTGATGTTTCATAAAACATAGTGATAAAGAGAGAGAGAATGAGAGAGAGGAGAGAGAGGGGGGAGTGCCATGATTTACAAAGAGAGAGTGAGAAAGAACGAGGAGAGAGGGAGGGAGGGAGAGTGTCATGACTGAGAAAGATAGAGGAGAGAGAGAGAGAGGGAGAGAGTGCCATGAATGAGAAAGAGAGAGAGAGAGAGAGTGAGAGAGAGAGAGAAAGAGATAGATAGACAGATAGATAGATAGATAGATAGAGAGAGAGAGAGGGAGAGAGTGCCATGAATGAGAAAGAGAGAGAGAGAGAGAGAGAGAGAGAAAGAGAGAGAGAGAGAGAGAGAGAGAGAGAGAGAGATATGAGGGAGGGGAGAAAGAGAGGGAGAGAGTGTCATAAGTGAGAAAGAAAGAGAAAGGGAGGGAGTGTCATGTGTGAAAAAAGTGATGGGTCGTTGAAGGATCGGTCGATTTGAGTTTAGAATCACACACATTTTTTTTATATTTATAATTTAATAAAGTTTAAGGCTGCTTAAAACACCTTAAGCCACCATATGCATAAATCATATGAATCATCGTTCAAATGGTTTTAATATTTTATGTTTTACTGCTATGCTGCTCTAGTTCTCGAACGTGCCCACAGGCTATCCTCATTTTTTCTTCAATGTACTGAATAGGAAAATGCTATTTTCTTAGTATATCGTTAGCATGGGTCTAAGGACCCGACGAGAGGTTGCGGTTCTCGAACTGTCAAGAGGTCGTTATTTGAGAGCCAAGCTCAGTCCGGCCCAGCGCGCAATTATATGTCCGTCCACTCGACCACGCACAATCCCTTCCGCACAATTAGACTTACATTTCCTGTGCAGCAAGAAAAAAAAATCCTGGCCAAGTGCCGTCAAATTATCGGAGGCGGCACCCTTTGAAAAGAGTACTCTCCTGATTGTAATGACCGTTTCACAATTGACCAACTGTTAAATCTTCCGACTTCTGCCAAGAAAATTGTAGACGTTTTAGGTCATAAAATTTAAAATTCTAAACAACCCTGAATCATTAGATTGATTAGGCAAAGTTTAATACTTTCTTTTCTTCCAATAGGAGAAGCAGTAAATTCACTTCTTAGTCAAGTCATCAAGTATGCATGTTGGTTCATCACCCTGTACATTTAAAATATATGCTTACATAATTTTACAACTCGAAAGAACAGTTACAGATATAAAACAAAAACATAATTGCTATGTGGCAGTGAATAAAGCACGAAATAAATTAATAATGAGCGGTACTTTAAACGAGTTCAATCATGAGAAACTGGTGAAGTATTTTATGGCTATGTGAACTTAAGTAATTGTTTTGCAAGACCGTCCCGTCCCTGCTTATTAATCTTGACGTGCTTACTCGTTGTACTTAAGAGTACTTTGCTGTTCAGCCGAGCGTTATCAGGCTGAACGCAGAACTCTAGTGTGCTTTAAGTGTAAGAAGGCAAATCGCAGGGGGTTGGTAGGTGGAAATGTAAAAACGCCGGACGGAAGCCTTAATAGGATTAGGTCCTTATTGGTGCTCAGGATTAAATAATTAATAATCCTGGTTAAATCCGACATTTTTCATCCCCTTGGGAGTTTTAACTACTCCTCCTTTTATTCCAAGGATAATTACATAATTTACGAGTCCTAGGCTGTAAAAAGCGGTAGAAGGGAAGGATTATAAATTAATCGCCTTGTAAAATTCGCCTAAGGAGTATTTTTTTTTCCTGTGGGCGGAGGTGAAATTTTAATTTATCATAGGGAAAATTACTGAATAAAAGTGGTTCAGTAATTACTGAGCTTATCACTGTATCACTAAGTATTTTTATAATTTATTTAAATTACCAAGCACCTCAGCAGTAAAGTGTAAAATAATCGTTTAGATAAGCCTTTTATGTATACACTTGAGCTAAATATAAAAATGTTTTTATTATTTTTAAATGTTTATGCTTGTAATTATCACATCATCCGTTTAATCGGAATATATATTTTTAGCCTTAGTGCTACATTACGTTCGACATTATATTATCATTTAAGCCTATTTACCATTCTTAACGTTGTTTGAATAAATTTTAAATTTTTTTGTAACACTGTTGTAATCAGTGCTACGTTCATAATAACAAATAGTTACATTTTTTCTTTCCAAAAGGTAGATTGGGGATGAGGCCAGGAAGACAGAAACAACATGGTCAGAAATAGAACTGCAAACTGTGATATACCGACTGTGATAGCCTTAAAATATAAGAACAATTTGGGAAATATAATTTTTTCAAATTTGAAATCAAA